CTCCTGGGGGACGGGGGAGCTGCTGCCGTCCAAGCCAGCTGGCTCCTCGGGAGCCCTGGGGGGACACAGGACCAGCAAGGACATGCAGTGAAGTTGGGGCATGTGGGGAGGATCCAGGACTGAGGAGCCTGGGGTGGGAAGGGGCGTCCCTGGCAGGGCTCCTGGAGCACCCAGCTCCGCTGCCCTTCCGAGCCCCCTGCGATACGCACCTCCGGAGCGCTGGGGGGATGGAGGAGGGGAACCATGAGCAGCTTGGCCAGTCCTCTCACCCCCGGCCCCAGGAATTCACATGCCCGAGGGGAGCTGCCCCACAGCACTGCAGCCCCTTTGGGCTGGTGCGGCAGGGAGACTCGGGACATCCCCCTCAGTGCGCTGCAGCCCCTCTCCTGGGGTGCAAGGGATGCCCGGGTTGGGGGGGTCGCCACTGGATCATGGGGAGCAGTCGGGGGTTTGTCATTCAATCCAACTCGCCCTAGACCAAGCATCCCGAGGTAAAACCCTTCCACGCCACCTCTCTCCCAAGGCCTCTGCCGTTGGCTACAGCAGCAGCTTCCGGCGGCCAGCGGGTGAACCCAGGGAGGAGCCCGCCAGACTGTGGGGCGCTCAGGAGAGGGGCGTCTGTGCTCCCCACTTGCCTGGATGAGAACCCACTTGCATAACACTCAGCTGCAGTGACAACAGAGAGCCACCAGGTGTCACCCAAGCCCTGCCCTACAAACCCAGGCCACTGCCCCATTAGGCCTGGCCCTACATGTGGGGGAGCTGGGGCAGGCCTTGGGTGCAGCCAGGGGCCCCCTGATTGCTTGATCCCCTAAGGCAGGCCCCCGCCTTCGACTTCAGCATGCAACAGCCCAGCCCCCGCCTTTCCAGTGTGGGAGAGCTGCCGAGACCAGGCCCGCTCCAGGAGGGGTGGGGAAAGCCAGCCCGAGATAAATGGGGGGAGGGGGAGGACACAGGGCTGCCAGGCTGTCCCTCCACAAGGTGCGGCCAGGGGGCACAAGTGGGGAACGCCGCCATCGGGCTGCAGTGTCCCCCTGTGCCCTCCTTACACACCTGGCCGGAGACCCACAGCCTCCTCCCGAGCCCCAGAAGGGAAGCCATACCCCAGGTAGCTGCGTCTCTGCACCACCTCGCTGGAGCTGCGGGCCAGTGGGCCACTGTCTGCCTTGGCAGCCGTCCTGGAGGCCTGTAAGGGCAAGGAGGGGCTCCTGGCCTCGCTGGCTCCCTCTGCTGCAGGGGCCCGCTCAGAGGCAGGGGTGCTGGCTGCAGGGAGACAGGGCAAGTTACTGTAGCTCCTCCAGGGAACAGAGCCCACCCAGCAAGATACCGTGTCCTGCCCCCTAACCCCTAGGGCTCCTCCCACCCCCTCCCCCCGCCGTC